AAAAAAAAAAAAAAAAAAAAAAAAAATCTGATGACAGGTTGCAAGTAGGGAACACATATTGCCATGTTTAAGTATTTTTTTTGTTTTCAATACCATCTTTATACTTAAAATTTAAACCAGGGATATGTGAAAACATTTGTAAATTTTGGCATTTGCAGCTAACTCATTAACAGTGATGCCACTATAGCTTTATTCTAAATAGAAGTAGCCTTAAAATTTTTATGCAAATTGTCTATCGATTTTCTAGAGAAATGAAAATTTAGTACTTATTTTTGTATTAAACATATAATTTCTTCTCTTTAGCTCATTGTTCCTGAAAGGGTTTACTGGATTAAAAAAAGAAAAAAAGATTGTCAAACAAAATAAATAAACAGTTGTAGAATTATACCATGAAATAAATGACAAAACCACCTCGAGTTTTTAGACTGTTGACTCCTCACACATACTTCATTTGCGCCTAACCTGTAATTTCTCACTTACTTGGCTGGCTAGTGGCCTGATGGATCTTGCAGGTCATTGCACATGTCACTGTACTGACTGGCACATCAGTCAGTAGCACCAGGAGCCAGCAGAAGCACCAGTGTAAAATATTTCTTGCACAGTCTTGAACAGATGTAAGGAATTACCTGTCCATGGTTGCTTGTGTCTGAGGATACTTTTCACTGAGTCTTTTGCATGGTGTCCTTGAAAAGGTTTTAGTTATGTTTTATCTGTAAAGAGTCAGGAAAAAAGTGGAATTATCGTTAGTCCTCTTTACAATTTCATCACTTGTTCAGTGGTTAGAGCACTTAGACACTACTAGCTTGGCCACAAGTTACATGTATATAGTAGAGGCGTACTAAATTCATCCTGGTTTATTTTAGTGTAGTGATTAATAAAAAAACAGTTCATTTAAGAACATGAGAAATCTGAGACAAGTGGTAAACTGGATGGGATGCTGAGACAACAGATTGTACTGTCCTGAGCAAACCAGGGCATATGGGAAACAGCATGGTAATGTGAAAGAGGATGGAGCTTAGAGTGATACAGTCCTGCATTTAAGTCCAGTCTCTGCCATTTAAAAGCTTGGACCTCTCTAAGACTAGGTGTATTAGGGTTCTCCAGAAAAACAGAACCAGCAGGACAGACACACACACACACTGATTGATTAATTTTAAGGAATTGGCTCATGTGATTGTGGAGGCTTGGCAAGTCCTAAATCCGCAGGGCAGGCTGGAGACCTAGGGAAGAGTTGATGTTGCAGCTGAGTTTGAAGGTGTTCTGGAGGCAGAATTCCTTCTTCCTTTGGGGGGCCTCAGTCATTTCTCTCTTAGGGCTTTCAACTGGCTGGATGAGGCCTACCCACATTATAGAGGATAATCTGCTTTACTCAAAGTTTATGGCTTTAAATGTTAACCACATCTTAAAAAAATACCTTTATAGTAACATGTAGACTGGTGTTTGACCAAACAACTGGGTAGTTAATGGCTCTTGAATCTGTCCCCTTTTCCATCCTTGTTTTCTTTACTTTTAGCATGGCAATTGAACAAGTTGTCTTCTATAACACTTTATAATCTTATCTGTAATCCTTATCACCATTCGGAACTCCTTACTATTCTCTTCAAACATAACTGAGATTTCTGTTGATTGCATGCATTTTTGCATGCTGTTACCTTTGTATAGAATCACCCTCTCCCCTTCTCCCTTACACCTCAAGTTTCTGTACTGATGTCAATCCTATGAAGCCTTCCTGGACTTCCTTCCTGGTTCCAGAACACTCTTCACATTCATGTACAGGCGAACCTGAGCCTTCAAACATTGATACTCCTAAGCTGCCTTTCAGATGAGATAATATATCTGTTCATCAGCTGACCAAGGAACCCTTTGAACTGTGGTATGAATTGAATAGCACTCCCTTCCTGCAAGCATTTCAGATCTGATATCGATATCATCTTTTTGTTCATTAGTTTGGGTATTCATTTGATTATTTTACTGAAGTGGTTTTTGAATTGTATTCATAGGTACCTTGGGCACTTGGGTAGAGGATGAATGCTTAAGGCTTTGGGCTTTTCATTTCGTATTTAGCCAAATCATTTCACCCCTAATTTGTTATATGTTGGGTTTCTGAGTAAAATTTTACATGAGGAAAAGAGTTCTGATGTCAAAAATAATTTTAAAATTCTTGTTTTATTTCTTGTCTGCCTGATTTTTGGTAATCCATGTGGCTGCCTTTATTCAGTTTCCCTTTCTGCCCCCAGAAAGAAACAATACCAAACTTTTTTTTTTTTTTTTTTCTTGCGTTATGTGGGCCTCTCACTGTTGTGGCCTCTCCCATTTGCGGAGCACAGGCTCCGGACGCGCAGGCTCAGCGGCCATGGCTCACGGGCCCAGCCGCTCCGCGGCATGTGGGATCTTCCCGAAACGGGGCACGAACCCGCGTCTCCTGCATCGGCAGGCGGACTCTCAAGCACTGCGCCACCAGGGAAGCCCAATACCAAACTTTTTGAAATCAAGGATATTTTAATTGTATTTATCTTTATTTCATATATTGTTGGATGAATGCAAATATATTAATAGAAGTCATTGAATAGCATTTAATTTCTAATTATTTATTTATTTTAGTTATCAAGTGGGAATCCTCTATATGAAAAATACTATAGACAGGTAAGATGTTTGTTTCTTTGTCTTCTTAGATTGAACGTAAAATATACTTTCACCTCCTGATTGTATATATGCAGATTACCATCCAGCTGAATAAATTTGACATTTCTTGTTTTCATTTTCTTGTGCTTTAATCTCCTGCTTTGATTAATGCTTTTAACAAGCTCCCAGAAAAATGAAGGAAAGATAATTAAGCCCAAACACTTAATTGTCTTAAATATCTATCTTAAAAATCCATGTGGCATTAGATATATTCATCCAGATATAAACATCCAAATTAATTTATAAGCTAAATAGAAATGACTTATATGTTGTTTTTAAGACCTATTAAAGTTTAATTTTCATGAAGTTAAAACCATGACTCTCATACAAATATATAAAATGAACGTGTGTCAAGGATTTTTTTCAACTCATTAATTATTGGGAGAACCAGTGAGATGTAAAAATGGGAATATGAGTTAACAGAGATTTATATTCTCTATCAGAGAAAATTAATTTCATTGGTATGGATAGGAATCATTTGCATTGCTATCAGGTTTATATAATTTAACCTCTACCCCCTACAGAGTGTAAAGTAGCCGAGTTGATAGAAAGTCAAAGGTGCAAACCGTAGATCAGATTATCTAATCTCCTGAAAGTGTAGACAGTCTTATTTGCCCATTTCCAAATATCAGATCATTTTTCTTGATAATCTCTTCACCTTGTGATCATAATTACAGAAAAGGCTGGTCTCCTTATACAAATAAACTGGGTAATCTACATATTGCAGCAAGTGTTAATGAACCACTATAGGTCTCCTTGTGTGACTTGCAAATCTAAAGCCATACACTTATTATTTAACAACTTCTAAGGCCAGCTGATTAATTTCTGCTTGAAATTTCTAAAGAATGTCAGATTGTACTTTTTAAAGCCTCTGTTATTTATTCTTCTGTTTTAAGGCTAGGATCCAAATTTTAGAAATTCTCTTCTTCATATTTCACATGCAGTATAAATTTGAGTGCATTTACCTCATCTTGAGGTTTCCCATGTCTGCTAAGTTTTCTAGCCTGCTAAGTGACCTTGCTTTACTGCTTGAGTGACTGGGATCTTACAAACCATGTTGCAGGCCAGTCTTCTTGTGGGGCCTTTGTAGACATTGGTTGTACATAAAGGCAATCCCTGATCCTTAATAGTGGCTTGTTCTATCTGAATAAAAGAGAATCATTCTCAAATATGGCCTTGTTTTTGTACAATTGGTTTACTCAACTATAACCTGATAAAAAGGAGAATAAATTGTTATTTAACTTATTTGATAACTATATGGCCATACAAAGTAAGGACATTCAGTTAAAGGATTTGTTTTTGATTTCTGAAGGGTCAGTGAGAATCAAATACTGTTGAAAACTATTTCATTCAGTTTACAAAAGCAGAGCCTACTAAATTGAGGGATGGATATAGAGTAAGAAAGGGCTTTCCCACATATCCATTAGAAAATAGAATAGTAAAAATAATACCAACAATATTCCACGTAAATAATCATAATTGAATTTTCCTTAACACTTCATTCAACCCTGTGTACTTAATTCTTGTTTCCCTGCCTCTTGGGTCAGGAGTCTGCTTTCAAGAGATATATCTACTTCCAGAATGCAGTCCTGGAATTTTGACTTGGTCTACCAGTACAGTCTGAAAGTTGTCTAAGTGATGTCAGCCCAGAAGTCTTTATCCAAAAGTCTATATTTTGAAGTGTTAATAGTTCAGAGTATGTGGTATCATACTTTCCATGAGGCTCTGAGACTGTCTTTCTTTGTTAGCAACACAGATTGTGGCCTTTAGTTTATGGCAGAGCCTTTAGGCAGGCATCAGAGTACAGCAGAAACTGCCTGTAGTTGACAAAGACTAAATGGCTGTGTTTAATTATTATAATAACCAAAAGAATGGAAGATAGTAAAATTATTTATTGGAATACACTACATAAATATGTCATAAGAGCTTAATCTGGGTTTCCCTTTCCCCTCAGTGCCTCTGTTTCTAGGCTATGGGGGGGTAGTTGTTCCTTTTTTATCCAACCCTGGTCAAGGGGTAGGCAAAGAAAAGGAGTTGTGGAGAATTCTAGAGGCAGAGTTCCCAACCCTTTCTGTACCTCCTTGTTACCCCAAATTTGGATTGGGCAATTCTTTCCTTTTTGCTGAGTGCCTGATTTATCCCATGTTCTAGCACTTGAAAGAAAGTATTTCTCTTTTGCTTCTTTGCTGGGATTGGTCTGTCTGGAATGCTTTGTATATGTTTTAGCAAACAATCTTTTAACTAAAGTGGAAAAACAGCTAGCTCACAAATATCCTCGTATCATGTTACTATTCCCATGACTTTTAAAAATTTGATTTTTACAAATAGAACTTTACTTTAGGACATCTCTACGGAAGTGAGAGTCGTTATTTTTTTTGAACTGTTGTTTTGTTCTTGGTGACCTCATTCTGTCTTAAAGGAAAGTCCCCATCAGTTAAAATGATGTGTTTCCCTTAATGTGCTTTAGGAACTTAGCAGTTTTTAAAATTTCTTTAAGTTTATAATGCAGTCACTGCTGGTTTTAGAACTGATATTGCTTTGGTTTTTTTAAAAGGTGCTGCAGTTTCTTAAGAGTAAGTATAAAAGCAGAAGTTAATTATTTAAAGATATTTGGAAAAAAACAGATAACTGTGCAGCTATTCCCATTTATCAGAAGACCTCTCCAGGAACTATTGCCCTTTTCTTCTTTTGCCGTTTAAGTTTATTGGAATTTAAATGGCAGCTATAGAAGACTTGGAATCAGAAGACATGTATTAATGTTATGACTCCACTAATCTGTTCTACTTCCTCTGAGCTTCAGGGTTTTTTTTTTTGTTTTTTTTTTTCTTGTTTGTTTTTGTTTTTGCTTTTTAATTTGGCTGCACTCTGTGGCTTGTGGGATCTATGTTCCCTGACCAGGGATTGAACCCAGGCCCTGGCAGTGAAAGCACTGAGTCCTAGCCGCTGGACTGCCAGGGAATTCCCTGAGCTTCAGTTTTACCATGTGTGTAATGGGCATGATAAAAAAACACTTTGTAGATTGACAGTGCTGTCTAGATGGTACTCTTCTCATATGGGTCTCCAATATTCCATGGCCTTTGTTAGTCAAAGGATTCCTGTTCCCTTTTTGAAAAAGTCAGTTCCCAAATTACAGGGAGAAAGGCAGGTAAATAATCATAATTTTGTCTTTATGTTTGTTGTCAGCTTATGGTTTGTATCTTTTCAGGTTGATACAGGCAATACTGGAAGGGTATTGGCTTCTGATGCTGCTGTATTCCTGAAAAAATCAGGACTTACAGACCTGATACTTGGAAAGGTAGTATTTGTTCACTGTAACTAGATATAATGAATATTTATTAGTGTAGATAAATTGGGTACAAATTCAGAAAGATAACCATTACGAAACTTAGAAGTTAGAACTGTTGTGGAAGCAGTTACAGTAATGCAGTGGAGGGAATTTCTGGTGCAGTGATTTACCCTCTTGAAAAATAAGGTGTTTTTCAGATTTTTAGAAAACAAATTACTTTTTAGTAGGATGAAATGAAGTAATAGTACATTTGAGTGATGCGGGGAGAAACAATGCAGACTGGGAACCTTGCCACCCACTCAGAATTGGCTCTTTCCATACTTCCTCTATTAGAACTGTCTCTGTGTTTAATATGTGGTAAATAGAGTAGGGGATGAGAGGCTTAGGAAGGAGCACAAAGAGGTGGAAAAGTCCCTCTCTTGGCTTGATCTCCTTACAAATCCTTATATATGATATTGATATGTATTCAAACCCTGAAAAATAATCATTATTAATAATTTAATTATTCACAAATAAACTATTTCAGCTTACCCATAAGAAAGAATATCATCTTAATAAGGATCTAAAATCAAGGTAGCGTGTTCTAGTAGAAAGAGTATTGGACTTGGAGTTAGAACCTGGGTTAATAAAAAAGTCATTGGACTGGAAGTTAGAATATGGTCTTCAGTTCTTTCCCTGATGGCCTTGGATGTTCTTGAGTAAGTCACTTAACCTCATTGGACCTTAGTATCTTTGTGTAGGGTTGCACTAAGTGATCTTTAAGGTTTCTTTCCACTTTTAATTCTATGATTCTTAAATCTGACTACCAAAGAGCATGAGGTTGTAAATTGCAGGGATTTAATTTATCTTTAAGGTGATTTTTGTTAAAATATAGATTGATACTTTTTTTTTTTTTCTAAATTTCAGATCTGGGATTTAGCTGACACAGATGGCAAAGGTATCCTGAACAAACAAGTAAGTTTCAGAGATTGACATGAAAAATTTTTGAGTGATTCAGAATAAAAATTGGCCAGCAATTTTTTGTATTTTTAAACTAAAAATTGGTTTTTACCAAAATGAGGGTTTTGCAAGGGCAAGTGTTACAACAGTGAAAATATTTCCAATCAATAGGCATTAAAATACCTAATTCCCAAAGGTCAGTGTTAGTTTGGTGACATTTAGTTCTCCTGGAGTGTTATAGTCTGTTTGGGCTGCTGTAACGAAATATTACAAACTGGTTGGCTTGTAAACAGCATACATTTATTGCTCACAGTTCTGGGGGCTGGAAGTCTGAGATAGGGTGCCAGCATGGTTCTAGTGAGAGCTTTCTTCTAGGTTGCAGACTTCTTTATTCCTACATGGCAGAATGTGCTAGCGATTTCTCTGAATGCTTTTTTGTAAGGCACTTATCCCATTCATGAGGGCTTCATCCTGATGGTTTATGCACTTTCCAGAGGCTCTACCTCCTAATGGCTCTACTGTTATTTTTGGGATTTTGAATTTCAGTATATGAATTTGGGGGGACACATTCAAACAATAACATGGGATTTATTTTTCTTAGTTATTCAGGGAGACTTTACTCTTTGTATCTTATTAATTAAGTTTCTTATGTGTACAGGGTTATAAATAAAAATGGATTTTATTTTATTATTTTTCTTTAAATTTATTTATTTATTTATTTATTTATGGCTGTGTTGGGTCGTCGTTGCTGTGTGCGGACTTTCTCTAGTTGTGGCGAGCAGGGGCTACTCTTCATTGCGGTGCACAGGCATCTCATTGCATTGGCTTCTCTTGTGGAACACGGGCTCTAGGCACACGGGCTTCAGTAGTTGTGGTACGCGGGCTCAGTAGTTGTGGCTCACGGGCTCTAGAGCGCAGGCTCGGTAGTTGTGGTGCACAGGCTCAGTTGCTCCGTGGCATGTGGGATCTTCCTGGACCAGGGCTCGAACCCGTGTCCCTTGCATTGCATTGGCAGGCAGATTCTTAACCACTGTGCTACCAGGGAAGTCCAAAAGTGGATTTTATTATTCATGTGTTAAGATGGTATTGTGCATTTGAAGGGAAGCTCTTGGCTATTCAAACCTGAGTACAGTGTATTCTGGTCTAGGTCTTTATCTCTGACATATAAACCAAAAAATGGTTTACAAGCCTGACGTAAACCTTAGACCAGAAATATGTGAAAGTGGTTGTGGGCATTGGACGCCATCAGAGAACTTTAAAGTTCTGCTTGTTGGGGTTGGATTTCAGAGTTCTATGGGTTTAAATTCAAAGCTTGCTACATGCTAATACATTGGCTGAGCACTACTACTCAAAGCTAATTTTCCCTATGGGGATAGCTGAAGCTAACTCAGAAAAGGGATGGGAAAAATTAGATGAGGGGGTCAGAATACCCAGTCTCTTATTTAAGATTCCAAGGTTAGATTGTGGTCCCCATTGGACCCCTGGGCAGAAGGGCCAGTTTGGTACATTGGAGACATTGGAAAACTAAATTCGCATGGGCATCCAGGGTGCTCTGTACTCAGTCAGCAAATATTTGTTGAGCCAGGTTTTGGCAATACAGAGGTGAACGTGACAGGATGTGGTCCTTATCTTCATGAACTTACAGTAAAATAAATTCTTCACTGCTGTTCCTAGACTTTGGATGTTTAGTTTGAGTTGTCTTGTTATATCCAGGTGGCTGGATTTATGGATCTGCAGTTATAAACTTTGATGTTGGCATTGGAGGAATAGATTTTTGAATTAACATATGAAATTAAGAAAATAAACCAATACTTACTGAGTTTCTATGTGCCAAAAATGATAATGTTTTCTTCCTATAGTGTGGTTTTAATTTTGTTCCTTATAATACATTGCAAGGTAGATATTAGCCCCCCTTTTAAAGAGTTTTTTTAAACTTGCCCAAGGCCTCACAACCTGTAGCAGAACTAGAGTTCAGTGCAATACTATTTCACTTCAGAGCCCATCCATACTATGGGAGTGGACCTGATTACCTAAGAGTAATTGACTCTCATTAGAATGAGAAGAGAAAAAGGGTTATTTAGAGTTCAGCATTTAAAGGATGGGAGGAGACATTGATTTCAACAAGAGATACTTGAAAGGTCAGAGGAGAACTAGGAGAGCTTTATGAAACTATGGCAGTAGAGGAGAGCATCAGGGAGGATCATACAGTCCAGGCTGCCAAAAGAACAAGTAGGGGGTGTTTCCCTGGTGGTGCAGTGGTTAAGAATCTGCCTGCCAATGCAGGGGACACGGGTTCGAGCCCTGGTCCGGGAAGATCCCACATGCCGCAGAGCAACTAAGCCCATGCGCCACAACTACTGAGCCTGCACTCTAGAGCCTGGGAGCCAAAACTACTGAGCCCATGTGACACAACTACTGAGCCCATGCGCCACAACTACTGAAGCCTGTGTGCCTATAGCCTGTGTTCTGCAGCAAGAGAAGACACTGCAATGAGAAGCCCGTGCACTGCAATGAAGAGTAGCCCCTGCTCGCCGCAACTAGAGAAAGCCCGCGCACAGCAATGAAGACCCAGTGCAGCCAAAAATAAATAAATAAATAAAATAAATTTTTAAAAAATAAAAGAACAAGTAGGATGAAGCTGTTTTTTAAAAAAATTATTTTAGAGTCTTGTATTTGGTAGCTAGGAGTTTATTTGTGACATAGGCAGTTGTTTCTTTAGCTAATGGTAGGAGCTGAAATCAGATTGCATAGAAGCTTGTGTGGTGAATGAAAAGAGAAGGGGTGATCTTGAAATAGCATTTTTTCAAGAAATTTATTAGTGAAGGCAAGGTATTGTATAAACAGACAACGTGCAAGTTTCTAGGAATAGGTTAAAGTATTGAGTAAGAAGGTTGTAGGTGAGAACAGATGTGAGAAAAGCAGTAAAGGGTTGATTGCATCAGCAACTGTACTGGAGTATTGACAAGTTGCAAGTAATCATAACTGGAGTAAAGGGTTTTGTTATTCTCAGACCTGATTTTAACTCAGAACAGCTGAAAACAAGTTGCTTCAGTGTCATTCCACTAATTAAATTTTGGACCGAGGCTTCAAATGCCAAAAATCCAAGGACCTTTGGGAGAGATTTACAAACATTTTGAAGTCAAGCAGTTATATAAATTGTTTTAGATGTTGCATAGTTATTCTTTGTAGCTTTTCTGGAATAACAGTGACTGAGTCACTTGGATGATTGGTCTAGTGTTAAAATTTATAATCTTAAATCCAGAGATGCCTTTTGATAACCTTTTATTTATTTTCTTCTAGTCTTTTTTTCAAGATTCTTTTTCTCACTTAAATTATAAAAATCATTTAACATCTTTAAATATTCTTTGAATCATGATTATTAATTTTGGTATATTTCCAAATATATATATTTATCAGTATATCAGTTTAATTATTTTCCCATTTATATTTTTTGCTATTTATAATATTAGGAATATCTTTGTACATAGATCTCTTCTTGATTTTAGAGCAAGTGGTTTTCTTTTTTGTTTGTATTTTTGTTTTTTTTCCTTTGCGTTACGCGGGCCTCTGTTGTGGCCTCTCCCGTTGCGGAGCACAGGCTCCGGACACGCAGGCTCAGCGGCCGTGGCTCACGGGCCCAGCCGCTCCGTGGCACGTGGGATGTTCCCGGACCGGGGCCCGACCCCGTGTCCCCTGCATCGGCAGGCAAACTCTCAACCACTGCGCCACCAGGGAAGCCCCAGAGCAAATTTTTCAAGCAAATGTACTGTTACATTTGCTGCAACATAAAACTCTTGGAGTAGTTGTGAATTGTTTTATATTTTCAGATTAAAGGTATGTGTGTAGATAGATGGATGGATGGATGAATGGATAGATAGGTAATGCTCTTAACATTCATACTTTTCCTTCTCAGGAATTCTTTGTTGCGTTGCGTCTTGTGGCATGTGCCCAGAATGGATTGGAGGTTTCACTGAGTAGTTTGAACCTGGCTGTTCCTCCACCAAGATTTGTAAGAAATGCTTTTAAATTTAAATTGTATTTTAAAAAATGATACCACATGATTTGAAAATTAAAATTTACTATATTAAAAATTTTTTACCTCAACCCCTATCACTCAGCTACCCGATTTTCTTTCTTATGGCCACTGCTGTTATTTGTTTCTTGTGTATCTTCCAGTTATTATATGTGTATATAAAGGCATATAAATACCTATATCCTCAGTGTACATTAATTGTAGCATACTATACACATGATTCTATGCCTTTTTAAATAACTTGATATGTTTCGGAGATCTTTACGTAAGAGCATCCTCATTCTTTTTTACAGCTGGATAGTATTTCCGTGCTTCTGTTTACCTTAATTTATTTAACTTCCTATTGGTAGGCTTTTAGCTTGCTTCCAGTCTTTTATTATTTAAAACATGCTGCAATGGATAATAACCTTGAATCTGTGTCACTTTGCATGTGCAGAAATATATGTGTAACTTCTCAGAAGTGGAATTGCTGTTTCAAAAGTTTGTGCATTGTAATTTTCACATATAATATCTACTTGTCTTCCATAGTGGTTGTATTAGTTCACAGTCCCACCAACAATTGGTTGAGTGTACTTCTGCTAACATACTGTTGTCAAACTTTTGGTCCTTGTCAATTTGATAGGTGACAAATGGAATATAAGTGTAGTTTTAATTCATCCTTTTGGTTTTATGGAGTGAAGTTGAGTAGTTTTTCTCATGCTTATGAGCCATTTATATTGCCTTTATGTGAAATGTCTGTTTGTAACCTTTGTCCATTTTTCTTTGGTTGTTTGTCTTTTCTTATTGGATTCTAGAGGTTTTTTATATATTAGGGAAACAGTTCTTTGTCTATATGAGTTGCAAATATTTTCTCCCAGTTTGCCATTTGTCTTTTGACTTTGTGATCTTTGTGGTGATTTTTTTTCCATAAAGAAGTCATTGTTTTTAATGTAAATGAATTATTAGGATTTAAGTTTTTAATGGTTTCTTTGTTCACATTTACATTAGTCCTGATGTAAGGTATGCGTATGGATTCAAATTTATGTTTCTTCAAGATGGCTACCTTTTAGACTTAATACAGTTTATTGAATAATCAGTCTTTTCCATACCGATTTGAAATGCCCCCTCAATCATGTGCTGAATTCTCATATGTATTTTGTTTTTTTTCTGGATTTTTTCTGTTCATACCCATTGATCTGTTTATCCATATGCTGATCTCACATTGTTTCAATTATCATATTTGGTAATTTATATCGGATAGGGCTAATCCTCCCCACCCTACTGCTTTTTTTCAGAAGTTTCACGGCTCTTCTTGCTTGTTTTTAAATTCAGTATTTTAGTATTTTGTCTGAGTATTATGAATTTAACTTCAGTTTTGAGAACTTCTGTACTTTGAAGTTTAGTTGTGGAGTCAGAGGGTTAATTTAGGCATTTGTTGCCTAACTATACTATTATAAAAATTTTTCAAACATATTCATCTGTCTCTACAAGCAAATAAACATAATAACTTGGACATGGTGTTGATAGGTTCATGTACTTGTAACTTAGAAATTTAAGTTGAGTTATTGTTCCAGTCAGCTTTCATTAAATAGTGTAGGGA